TTATATTCCAAATCACAACATGAAGAAAAATACATCAAATTTGTGTTGTTCCTCTAAAAAAATGGAAGAAAAGTGAATATTAGATGGTTCAAAGAAATCGCAGTGTTTGTATTCTTCTTTACAAACTCAAACATTCACTATATAAACTGAGAAATGTTTGAAGATTTTTCTTTCCTTTGAATGACTTCATGAATATTTGGTTGTAGTCGCACTGTTTCTGAGAACTGCTGTACATCTGTGTTGCATGGAGTCACCCAACTTCTGGCCCCTGTGATCAGGTATTCCAGCCCAGGATGATTGGACCACATTCCACAGTTCTTCTCTATTTCTTGGTTTTGCCTCAGAAACGGCATTTTTGATGTCACCCCACAAGTTTTCTATTGGATTAAGATCCGGGGATTGGGCTGGCCACTCCATAACGTCCATCTTGTTGGTCTGGAACCAAGATGTTGCACATTTACTGGTGTGTTTGGGGTCGTTCTCTTGTTGGAACACCCATTTCAAGGGCATTTCCTCTTCAGCATAAGGCAGCATGACCTCTTCAAGTATTCTGATGGATTCAAACTGATCCATGATCCCTGGTATGCGATAAATAGGCCCAACACCGTAGTATGAGAAACATCCCCATATCATGATGCTTGCACCACCATGCTTCACTGTCTTCACAGTGTACTGTGGCTTGAATTCAGTGTTTGGGGGTCGTCTGACAAACTGTCTCCGCCCACTAGACCCAAAAAGAACAATCTTACTTTCATCAGTCCACAAAATGTTGCGCCATTTCTCTCTAGGCCAGTCAATGTGCTCTTTGGCAAATTGTAACCTCTTCAGCACACGTCTTTTTCCCAACAGTGGGACTTTGCGGGGACTTCTTGCAGATAGCTTGGCTTCACATCGGTGTCTTCTAATTGTAACAGTCCTCACAGGGAACGTCACACCTTCTTTCATCTTCCTGGAGCTGATTGTTGGCTGAGTCCGCGCCATTTTGGCTATTCTATCTATTCGCATGGTAGTTTTTTTTCGCTTTCTTCCACGTCTTTCAGGTTTTGGTTGCCATTTTAAAGCATTTGCGATCATTTTAGCTGAGCAGCCGATCATTTTCTGCACTTCTTTATATGTTTTCCCCTCTCCAATCAACTTTTTAATCAAGGTACGCTGTTCTTCTGAACAATGTCTGGAACGACCCATTTTCCTCAGAATTTCAGAGAGAAATGCACTGTAACCGGCATGTACAACATTTGCTGCCTTCCTTCCTTAAATAAGGGCAATAATTGCCACCTGTTTTTCAAAGAATGAATGACCTCACTAATAGAACTCCACACTGCTATTATTTTGAACATGCCCCTCTCAATGAGTGATTCAATGACACAGAATCAGCAGCATGCATGTCATGACTGTTGGGTCTGTTGGATTTCTATTACTCTACTACACCTGCTAGGAAATTATTTGCCATGTAGAAATATCATTTCTACCAAAAACAGTGATTGATCCGGTTAGTAATGTCTGACGGCTATTATTTTGAACACAACTGTATATTTATATTTATAAACACTTTTTTTCTTTTTTACAAAATCTGTCTTTTCAGCTTCAGTTTTTGGCAAAATGCACCCTGAATTTTTGGTTTCGGTCCAGAATTTGCATTTTGGGGCACCGCTAGTAAATATGGGGGGGTGGGTTGGAGCTGCTTGCAGAATGTTTTTTACCTTTTAATGCAGAAAATGCATTATGGTAAAAAAAAAAAAAAAACCTTCAGCCTTTAGACTTCGGTCATACCCTGTGTGACTTGGCATGCGATTTGCCATGTCATGCAACTTGCAAGTCGCACCCTATTATCTGCAGTTACAGTGGTCGTATCAGTGCGATTCTGACTTGGTCGGAGCCACTTCTTTAGGTGCAACTTGCATAGACATCTGTGTCTTGCAAGTCGTACCTCAAGTCAGAATAACAAGTCGGATCATGTGACTGGAGTGTTGGAACCACTTTAAACAGTGGCTGGGCGGAGCCTGGGATCTCCCACAGTACATGTGTTACACAATCCCTTTCTTCTTTTCCTAATAGAGAATTCCTTTTTACCGCTTAAGGACCGCCCTATAGCAGATATACTGCTACAGGGATCACGTGTGTGTATATATACGTCATTCTGCATTTCAGGGTAGGGGGGCGCTCGCGCCCTACCCGCGCCACCATTCGCGGCCTCGGATGTCAATCACTGGGTCCTGGCTGGTAATTACCCCCGGGCGCCTGGTGAATTACCGAGCATCTCCGACTGGGAGGAAGATTGTATTATTTACAAACAATCTTCTTCCCTGTCAGCTTGAGCACACTGCTTGGAATGGCTGTGCACAGTACAGCCATCCCATTCAGTGTGCTTACAGTGAAGAACACGCCCCCCCATCCCTAGTAAAACACACCCAGCACACAGTTAACCCTTTGATCGCTCCTCACATTAACCTCTTCCTGCCCAGTGCCATTAGTACAGTGTCAATACTTTTTTTTAAGCACTGATCACCGTATTGATGTCACTGGGGATATCAGTGACACAAAGTTAGTCCCCCCCCCTCCCAGTGTCAGGATGTCCGCTGCAGTCCCGCTAATAGTCGCTGATCGCTGCCATTACTAGTAGAAAAAACGCATTATTTATACCGCCATTTTTAAATGCTATAACTCACGTAAACCAATTAACTTACACGTATTGGGATTTTTTTTTAGCAAAGACACGGAGCAGAATACATTTTGGCCTAAATTTATGATAATTTGACTTTTAAAAAAATGTTTTTTACTGGACATGTTTAATAGCAAAAAGTTCAAAATATTGTTTTGGTTTTTTTTTCTTGAAATTGTCAGTGTTTTTTTTTTTTTGCTTTATAGCGCAAAAAATAAAAAATGCACAGGCGATCAAATACCACCGAAAGAAAGCTCACTTATTATTATTATACAGGATTTATATTATTATTATACAGGATTTATATTATTATACAGGATTTATATTATTATTATTATACAGGATTATATTATACAGGATTTATATTATTATTATACAGGATTTATATTATTATTATTATTAAACAGGATTTATATTATTATTATTAAACAGGATTTATATTATTATTATACAGGATTTATATTATTGTTATACAGGATTTATATTATTATTATACAGGATTTATATTATTATTGTTATACAGGATTTATATTATTATTATTATACAGGATTTATATATTATTATTATTATACAGGATTTATATTATTATTATTATACAGGATTTATATTATTATTATTATTATACAGGATTTATATTATTATTATTATTATTATACAGGATTTATATTATTATTATTATACAGGATTTATATTATTATTACTATACAGGATTTATATTATTATTATTATTATTATACAGGATTTATATTATTATTATTATTATACAGGATTTATTATTATTATTATACAGGATTTATATTATTATTATTATTATACAGGATTTATATTATTATTATTATTATACAGGATTTATATTATTATTATTATTATACAGGATTTATATTATTATTATTATACAGGATTTATATTATTATTATTATTTATACAGGATTTATATTATTATTACTATACAGGATTTATATTATTATTATTATACAGGATTTATATAGCTCCAACAGTTTGCTCAACACTTTACAATATAACGGGAGACAATACATCAACAATACAGTTCAATACAAGAGGGTTAGGAGGGCCCTGATCCTGGGAGCTGACAATCAATTCGTGGGGAAAAAAAGGATGTAAATTTGTCAGTTAAAATAAAGCAACGCCATAACTCAAAAAATGGCCTAGTCATGAAGGGGGGGGAATCCTCTGGAGGGCAAGGGGTTAATATCTACAGACTAATCTTCAGCGGTTACATGTGAACTAGGCACATAGGAAAGAAAGAGATTATTACTTTTAAATACATTTTAATGCAGTAGAATTCATGGGTTTTACTGTACAGAAACAGACACGTGTGAATATTGCTTAGATATTCTGAATGTAGACATTGATCGATATAGTAAAAAAACTGTGTCTTTCTTCGGTTAGGTTGTGTTGGTCACAGATGGATGTCTGGGCATAGGAAGAGGATCTCTGCAACATTCTCTATCCACCCTGAACCAGCGCAGTGACAGCAACCGCTTTCCTCTTCCATTTCCATTCCCTTCCAAACTTTACATCATGTGCATGGCAAACCTAGACGAGGTGAGCTCGGGGTGCTGCATATTTAATGCTGATTGATTTCATGCACTACCTGCTTTTGATAAAAGCATTTACATATATCCAGTCAAATTTTTTTTCCAATCAATTTTTGTTGTTTTTTGGGGGGGGGTGGTTTTCCAAGGCCAGCTAAAACCTGAAATTTTGCAAATAAATAATCTTTCTTCATAAATCTTGGCCAAAATTTATTCAGTTATCTTTTTAGTATAAAAAAAATAACCCAAATTAGTTTTATAACCAAAAATTATAATTTTAAATTTTTTTTTATACATTTTAATTTTATTATATTATTTGTTTTTTAACATACTGTCACCCTAGCAGTACACTGTACTACTTGTGGAGGGTGATGAAGATTTTTTTTTTTTTTTACACTGATTGCTTTTACACCCATAAAGGCTGTAAAAGCAACCATTTCTCCTTCTCTCTGGCTGCATTCTTGCAGCCATTGAGAACTACTGTGTGAGCTGTGATTGGTCACAGCTTGTCACATGGTACAAGGCTGTTGTTGTGAATAGCCCTGGTACCATGTGACCTCTGTGATCATTCACAGATTTCACACGTAAGCAAGATGTCACTTATTATTATTATACAGTATTTATATAGCGCCAAAGGGTATGCTCAGCGCTGTACAGTAGCAAGGGGGACATAACATGAGACAACACAGTAACAATACAGTACACGAGGGGTTCGAGGGCCCTGATCTTTCGAGCTTACAATCTAGGACATCTTCTGACATCATTGCTTACTACTACTCTTCATGTGATCACTGATTGACCAATCAGTGATCACATGATCGGGACCTCGTACAGAGGTCCCGTACAGCGATCTGTGTTTGGAGGATACAGCGGGCAATGGATCGCGGTGCCGCACGCTCCCAGGGAGTGCACACAGGCCAAAATGGCGGGCGCTGTTTATGAACGGCAACCCGCCCCTGCATTGCCACTGTCCGGCCGTTTATATATATATATATATATATATATATATATATATATATATATATATATATATATACAGCAGCCGGACGGGAAGTGGTTAAAGCCTAACTCCACATGTCTCTCTTTCAATATTTCTTTTGCGCCAAGATGGTCTAAAATAAAAATCTAAAAAAAATTAAAAAATACAGCGCCCCAAGCAAGCAAAACCTGTCAGTGCAGGTTTGCTTGCTTGGGGCGCTGTATTACCTGTATCCCATTCCATCCCATTCCCAAAACAACATAGCTTCTGGCTGAGAGCTGCTAAGCCATTCATGGGAAGAATTGTAGTCCATGAATGAATACAAAGCTTCCTCTGATTGTGATGTCAATTGCTTCAGCCAATCAAAGGAAGCTTTGTATTCATTCATGGAATACAAAGCTTCCCATGAATGGCTGAGCAGCTGGGAGTGCAAAGCTAAAAAAGCACACCCAGCAAGTACACCCATTAGTGCAGTAAATAGTTTGTTTGGGCCAGCTTGGCCGAGGCAAACTATTTAAAAGGACCTTAAACATGGAGTTAGGCTTTAACCATTAGCCGCCCGGCCAATGGCCGTTTGGCGGCTTCAGATGTGCCTCTTCATTCCGGGTGCACGCCATTTGGCGTGCTCCCGCACATGCGCCGTTTGCGGTAATGCAGAGCGGCGCAGCAGCGGGATCTGTCACGGGCCGTGCACCTCGGACACGGCCGATGACAGATCCGAGTACCGGCTCCCGTTGCTGGTACCATGTGACCTGCTGTGACCAATCACAGCAGGTCACATGACAGTTGTATACAATGGATGGCTTCATTCATGATGCCATCCATTGTATACTAGTGCCTAGCTGTGAATGGTCACAGCTAATCACATGCACATGCATGTGATTAGCTGTGACCAAATCACAGCTAAGCACAAAAAAAAAAAAAAAAAAAAAAAAAAAAAAAAGCTGAATGAATCGATTTCATTCAGCTAAATGCTTGCTTATAGCAAAGTAATTCTTTGCTATAAGCAAATTGTGTAAAAAAAAAAAAAAAAAAAAAAAAAATACTGATCACTTCCCCAAAGTAGTACAGTGTTACTATGGTAACATTGTACTACTTTGGTCATAGTAAAATATGAAAAAAAAATCTTAAAAAAAAAATAAAAAAAAATGTAATAAAAAATTAAATATAAAAAAAAAATATATATATATTTTTTTTTTTTCATACTGTCACCAGTCAGTGTCCCTGTTCACCGCCATGCCAGTTATATGATGACGCTGTACTGCACTGGTGACAGTATGTAAAAAAAAAAAAATAGTGAAAATAATTTTTTTAATTTTTTCATTTTCCGAAAAATTATGACATAAAAATACAACTTCAAAAAACTCGCCATGCCTCTTATGAAGTACGTCGGACTGTCTACTCTGCAAAAAGGGGTCATTTGTGGGATATCTGTACTGTCCTGACATTTGGGGGATATCTGTACTGTTCTGACATTTGGGGGATATCTGTACTGTCCTGACATTTGGGGGATATCTGTACTGTTCTGACATTTGGGGGATATCTGTACTGTTCTGACATTTGGGGGATACCTGTACTGTTCTGACATTCTTGGACCTACAAGAAATTAGATTTGCTGTCTAGTACTTCACTGTCATGTTCTGATTCTTGGACCTCAAGAAATCAATCAGGATTGATCAATATTCAGATCTATACCATAGTTTTGTGAACTCTATAACTTTCCTACAAACTAAAAAATACATCCTAATTTGGGTTATTTTCACCAAAGACATGTAGCAGAATACATCTCGGCCTAAATTTATGAAGAACAATTATTTATTTGTAAACTTTTATAACAGAAACAAAGAAAAATGTGTTTTTTTTTTTCAAAATTTTTGGTCTTTTTTTGTTAATTTAGCAAAAAATAAAAACCCCAGCGGTGATTAAATACCACCAAAAGAAAGCTCTAGTTGTGTGAAGAAAATGATAAAATTTTAGTTTGGGTACAATGTTGTATGACCGCGCAGTTGTCATTCAAAGTGTGAGAGCGCTGAAACCTGAAAAATGGCCTGGGCAGGAAGGGGGAAAATTGCACGGTATTGAAATGGTTAAATAAAGGCATGTGAGATAAAAAAAAAAAAAAAAAGGAAGCCTTACCACTTGCCGACCTGCCACAGTACATATACTGCGGCGGGGTGACAGCTAAGGGCACTGTGACGTTACTGGGTACATCCCTGCCTGTTTTCCGGGAGTTGGGCACATGCCCCTCCTGCTCCGCTGTGATTTGACGCAACAGGAGTTCGTCAACAGATCCCGGCCAATAATTCTGGAAGCTGCTGGTCAGCTGTGTCCAATCACTGGGAAAAGAAACAAATCAATGTTTATTAATAAGCAGCACAGTTCACACATTAACGCTTGTTAGGCACAAAATTAACCCCTTGATTGACCTTAGATGTTAACTCCTTCCTAGCCAGTGTCAGTACAACATCTGTGTATATTATTAGCACTGATCACTGTATTAGCGTCACTGGTGATGTCAGTGGCAATTACTTAGTTCCCACAAAGTGCCAGTTTCAGATTGCCCGCCGCACTATCACAGTCCCACTGATTGCCGCTATTACTAGTAGAAAACAAATAAATAAAAATTCCAGTGTATAAATACGATAGTTTGTAGACACTATAACTTGCATGCAAACCAATTAAATAAGTTATTGGGATTTTTTTTTTTTTTTTTTTACCAAAAATTTGTAGTAGAATACATTTTGGCCTACATTTTATGAAGAAATTTAG